AACAGGTTTATGCATTGACTTCATGGATCGTTTATTGGTCGAAACAGAAAAATCACACGAGATTGTAGGCAATCGGAACTATAACGAGTAAAAATACCTGGGCACTAATATTCGCAAATTGTTGGAAAAATCCTGGTTCTCTGTGGGTCGTTTGAAAGCTTTTGGTGGATCGACATCGGTATAACTGGAAGGGAATTGGACGAACGATCACCTGCCAAAGACATTATATATATATATATATATATATATATATATATATAATGTATTTGTAGGCATTCACTTCCTGGGTACAAGCATATGCAGAACTTGCGAAAGATTACTGGATACGCATGCCTGACGAGTGGGAAGAACCGCGGAACCGGTCGCGTGCTCCCAGGGAAATTTTGTCTAGTCAATTATGTACTACTTGTTTTGAAATATTCTATAAAGATGATCAAGTCACGTTTGTTGCGGGCAGTAGCATTTAACCCACCCACAAAATATCGAATCATATTATTGATTCTCAAATGAACTTGCTCTGAAAGAGCTGTCTATCCAGTGTTGCAAACAAGGTTATTGTGACAAATATGTATGTCACACGTCTGAGTCCAGACTGTTTGCCAAATAAATTATAGTATTATAATCTTTATAAAACAAAAGAATTTGCATAATTTGCTCGGAAGGGTGGTGCTGCTATGTTGCCTCAGCCGAAGTAGGTGAATTTTCCTGGGGGAATTTACCATCGGAGTGTTTGACTAGCCACAGCCTGACCCGCAAGGCAGCGGGGTGGCGTGCACAAACTATAGTCCATTGGGAGCCGGTGTCCAGTTCATCGGTCCCTACAACCTTTGGACGGGGTCAAACGTCCAAAACGCCTAATATACCTCGATGCCCAATCCAGTTGTTGACCAGGGCCACAACGGGGAAGGTGTGTGCGTATGTTCGTTCTCTCACTTTGGTGGACAAACAACTGCGCCACGAGAAGGCAGTGAGTGGAGCTTCCTCATCAGAGACTATTTGAGGCGCTTGGTCGTATGTGAGCACTTCTTGAGGTGCAAGGGAAGATATCCACTAAGGCTTTCGGAAGCACCATGCTGCTCTTCAGATCAAGTGACAATTGCGTCGGAGGTACAGGGATCATTACGCTTGGATGTGACCGTGCAGCGCCTACAGGAATTGCACCAAGTTGAAACTTATGGCGGTGAATTTCATACTATGGACTGCGGACTGCAATGTTGATGATCGTGTTAAAGAAATTAGAAGTCACATCACCTGGACTTCTGATTGGAATGGTGTGATATTCAGCGGCGGGAACAAGTTGACGGTCCTGGTGGACTCATGTGTTGCCAGCCTGACCTGCGCAAGAGTCTACGTGGGGGGAGGGGGTTAGTCTGGGATGCTAATTTTGCGGATGGAAAGTTTCACTTGACAATTCTCGAAGAAAGTGAGACAGAGTAACCCTACTCGTAATCCTTGAGCGTGTTTCTTCTCCGCGATTTCAAAAATAGATTAAAACTTTGATTTTATTTGTTCATGTGATGAATTTAGTCTTTTACAGAGCAATCAAAGCGTTAAAGTGAAAAGCTTAAAAGCACTAGATATCTGTTTCGACGTGGATCTGACTCATAAGTGGTGCAACCCAGCTGAAGTTTGAGTCCAGGATCCCTCAGGTAGAACGCAAGCAAACTATCCACTCATCCACCTGGTGTTGGTGGCCCGGTTGTATCGTCACTAAATTATCATCCCAGAGGACGTGTTTTCGAATCCCATCACCCCATTGTGTTTCATGGCAACCCTTTGATTAACCGCTTCCTCCTCCCTGATAATTATATCATTTACTGTATTCAATAAAAGGAAATAAAACTAAAAATGGTTGATCAAGCCGGTTTTGATTTGTCTTCAATACTTTGCGCATGAAAAGATATTCCACACTGTCCACGAATTAAAGGCAATTATCCTGCATGAGCGGAACGAATTCGCAGTTCAGACAATCGGGAACCTGCTTTTAGAGTATGCCAGAGCCTTGTTTTTTCAATCATGAATAATAAGAGCCCGTGTGTTCCAACAATAACCGATGCACCACGGTAACCATCGTATACGAACTGGTATGACATCATCTTGTTTACTTTTAAAATAAACGTTTTTTGCTCTGCCGCTGGTACATCTTCACGTTTGCTTTGTTCAGAAAATAAACATATGTTTGTCAACGACACTAATGAATCATGAATACCGGGGAATCTTTCAGTCGCCTTTCTCTTTACTTCGTCTCAGGAAACCGATGAGTTCATTCTCAGGGCATTGGTTTTGAGCCACTGCCTATTGGGGAAAGCACCTCAGATTTACGTGGGCGTGTTTCATCGTTTGGGGCTATCTCCGATGATTCATCAGCTGGTCGACATATGGACACATTTAGTTCCCAATGAACCTGAAATTCCACTTGATTTGAGCTCTGAGACTGCCCCAGAGGCGGAAACCTCGGACCGTCGTACTATTTCGATTTCTATTGCCGAAGAGCAAACGTCTGAAATGGATGGAATGGAGCTTCCATTGGTTCCAAACATGCCGGTAAGTAAGAAAACATTTGATTGTGTTCAAAGTTTAACTATATATATATATATATCACCGAAGCCTAAGCCTAGCAGGTGTACTAAACCAATCACGACACAATACCCTTTACAAAGAACCCTTCACATGCATCAGTTTTGTCTCACGTTGTACTGGATGACGTTTGCTGATTACATGCAGTGCATTTTCAGGTTAACATATCGACGAATTATACCGTTTTTCATGTCATTATGCAGTTTGCTTATTCACTTCCAGTCGAACCACGCTTTACGCACTTATCGGGTGAATTCTTAGCAGTTTTCATATTTTTATAGGAGAGACATATGAATATGAATAAATAAACATAAATCAATTCGACATTGTAGTGCAGGGAATGATTTTATCTGTTAGTCTTTCTTTAAGATAAGTAATGGTTGACCTACGATTACCCAGGAGACAGACATTCGGAATGGGATTATTTCTGCAGGTAGATGAGTGTGGGGATTTGAAACTTGGAAAGATTTGAGCTATTCAGCCTGGTTTTATCAGGTTCGTCACAAAGTCTGTGTTCCTCTTCTTCTCGACAAACCTGACACATGCGACGAAATAGTCAGCCAGAATTGTTAACCAAAAATCTCTCAATACCATTGGATCAGAAACGTTCAAGGGATCTTGACACCATGGTGCAGTCTTTTTCTTTTATATCCGAGAACCACATGTGGTATCACTGGGAGCCATAGGCAGCGAACGCAAATCGTGGCCAGTGTAGGGAGAAAAGATTGTTTTGGAATAATTGCCTTCCCTAGTTTTCATTGGCATAAAGATAGTCCGCGACTCCGTTGTGTGCCTGACTGGAAAACTGATCATCATCATCGTCATCATCATCATCAATCTGAGCAAAGAGCATTGAGGGATCAGAGTGGTGCTTAACAAAAGTAATTATAAGAAGAATGCTCTGAATATTTGCATGGAGCTTACGGCAAAATATGAACGGAATTGATATTGAGCATCAATTTCGCTTGCACTCAATCAGCTGTCTACGCACAATAAATAGGATGTAACTGTAGAAGAAGAATATCGTATATGGACATTTACGTTGATTACATTGATTCAAGCTGAAAATATTTGGTTGTTGAATCATACTTGATACTGTTGGAGCTGAGTGACGAGGAGGGGAATAATGATAACAAAGAGTCAGAAAATGGAGACACTCGCATATGAACAGTCATGTAGTGGAAAACGATTAGCCGCAGAGGAAACAGAGTTGAAAATGGTTGCGTAATACCAAATAAGGAAACAGTTTATTTAGATAAAACCCGGAATTTAATTAAAAACGGACATAGAAAGGTAACGGAATCGAAAATATTCACACATAAAATGAAAGATGATTCAATAAGATAACAGAAGGTGGTTTGAAGCCAGAAAGAAAAATCAACACGCTGGTTCATGTCTAGCACAAGGAATCGAGACCAATCGTAAATTTCATTGAGGCTGGTTTAGAGTAGTCCGAGACATAAAACATGTAAATGGTCGCGTTGTAGGATATACTGAGAACAACATAGAATAACGATTCCTCGACAGCGGGAATCAAAGGAGTTTATAAAATCAAAAATCCAGTGAATATCTCAAGACCATCAACAGTGCCCGGTGCCTGAGAACAATCGAATGGGTAATTCCAAGTTTACTATTCCAATGGACATCCTTATCTGAGGCGGCTGCAGCAAAATGCACAATATCCCCGCGGCATCTAATGTAAATAAAGCAGATATGTTCGAACGGAGGAATGACCATAGGTGACAGTGTTACTCCCAGCAGCGAGATATCACAGAAAGTCTTTGTTAACTGTAGATAGTAACCTTATGGGTTCCGGAGTGAGGTTGGGGTCGAATAATGTCATTCATATTCTTTTCTTGTCCTTTCAGCCACTCCAAGTGAATGCCACAAATTTTTCTTTTTATTGCAGTAGTAAAAGTCATGACAATAATGGTGTTTTGAGAAAATGAAAACTATTCACTTCAGTAGTGTACGATGTAAACATTTATACGGAAGTTTGCCTTTCTACCAAAATTGTCAATGGTGCATGTGAATGGCTTTTGAATTCCTATTTTAATATATTGTACTCCTGTTTTGCCATAAGCCTGGAATCTAAGTCTGGATTCAGATGAAGCTTTTGGTTTATTATTGTCTGTCTTGTCTTAACCTTTTTCTTTTCCACCAGAAACGTTTTCCCAGTTCTGCAATCTAGAGTGTATACAACTAGGTCTGGTATTAGTATTAGTAGTGGTAATAATAGTGACAATGCCCCCAGTAGTCATAACTTGATTGTGCGCATTGTCATGTAGTGCCAATGTACGTAAAATTAACACTTACTTGTGGAGCATTGGCTATCGATTCTCGTTTTTTAAAGCTTTCTTTGTTATCAGATTTTCCNTTAAAGCTTGCTTTGTTATCAGATTTTCCCCTTCTCTGCTTTAATGTCTGTGTTTATTCCGTTTTTAGATAGCAGCTGAGCAGCTCCAAAGCAATCAGTTCTACGTCTGGCGTGATTGGAAAATGATTTGGGTGCGTGATCTGCTGTCCATGTTTACTCTGGGTTCATTCGTCATCGTTCTGCTCCATCCGGCTGATGGTGGTTTGCGCGCTCTAGCCATACACGGTGGCTGTTCCAGAGACCCCACACCGGTGATGTTATCCCCTGGTGAACCAGCTGTACCGCGTCCCGGTACGTGATAGGATTCACCTAGCAATTCGTGACTAATGTTGTTATCAATGCCTCCTAAAAGAATTTCATTGTCTTCCCTGGTTTGAATATTTGGCTTGGTTTTTCCTCTGCCTTATGTCTCTGATGAGTGTATCCTACAATCTCATTCGCGATCGAGTGAATTCATGCATTAGCTCAACCAAGGTGGCCGTTTGTCTGTATTTCTCTTTCTCTTATTTTCACTATTTTGTTTTTCTTCGTTTTGCACAGGTCTGAGGTCCCATATGTTGCGATTGCACCAACATTTAGTCGAGGCCAGTGATCACCTAGAGAAAAAGCAGCTCTGGCCGGATTCCCCGAAACGTCAAGAAACGAACCAGGAACAAAATCAATCCCAACCGGAAGCGGAAAGTTCGGTTTCAAACAATCATCCACGACTTCCACCCCGCTCATCGCATGGAAAATTTGAGATTAATAAGGCCAATTGGCGCCGTGTTGGTTTACATCTCGGTTTGCGACGTCCACCAAAGCCCACACAAGCTCCGAAAAATCCAATGATTAGTCCGAATGCCAAAGCTGCTCTCCAGCGTCAAGCTTCGTCCCCTGCACGAACCTGTATACCGCAGGGTCGGTTGCCGTTGGGAACTGCCGACAAACCGACTGCTCTGGGAAAGCCGACTAATGTTGTAACTATCGGCCCGTTGGTTTGCAGCTTGCGTGAAAGCACACGTGGTTCTCGTCTCTGCATTCAAGCCCGATCATTATCAGACTCAGCAGGCCGTCACAGTGAAGCAAACTCTTCGTTTAAAGAAGCGTTACTGTTTTTTGAGGATCATGATCAAGGTTTCTGTCGTGTGCGCATATCTTCAGTTTATCCGGAAGGTTCAACCACTGAAGTTTCGGAAATAACCGTTGCCGAATCCGAACAGACAGAAGGTGTGGCAACAACGGAGAAGAAGGATGCGGCCTCCAGTTCCTCACCGACTTCACCTGAACAGCACGGTCGACCTCGGCGACGTCATTCAGCCAGCCTCCTCACGTTCCTTTCGAAAGCGGATCCTGAACAGCAGTCTGAAGCAGAACCCTCTTCGACGGAATCGTCCGAGTATGATGCGGAAGCACCGGAACTGTTCGATTTTGACGCATTGTTTGGGCTGGAATCCGATCAAACATATGTTCTTCAAGGAGGGGATGGCGACGATAATAATGGAGAATTGGTGTTAACCAAGGGTGTCAAACCCCCGGAAGTAAACAAAGAGTTGGGGCGCATTAATGAAATCTTGTTTCCCCGAGAACTGGTTTACGAGACGTACACTTCGGGCTTCATCAATAATTGGCTTTGTATTGATGATGATTGTTTAGCGACAGAGTACGTTTTTGTGATTACCACAGCAATTATGTTTCGTTTCTCTTGTGGTACAAGATCGAAATTGTTTTCTTTCATACTTGAATCCTTTATAGGAATCGGTTCCCGGTCATACCTGAAGTATAATCTGTCTTTTTTCTCGATGAAGGATTATTATTGAGTCTCAATGCCTGGGATAAAACCTTTGATAAAACCATGTTGATAATGTATCTAAAGGATAAACAGGGGTTTGCCCATTTATTGCTGAGTTAGACAAATGTGGAAGTTTATGGTGCCCCAAAAACTTCAAAGAAATTCGTCTAGTTCCTGCATTAGATGTCACTCTTAAAATATCCTGTGAACACGACATATTAGTTCAGTCATACACACGGTTTGGGGATATTTGTGAACTGCTTTGTAATTTGAATTTACACATTTGAAAAGGTTGTTTTTCCGTGCTATCTTTTGCTCTGCAACAATATGCTTATCGCCGACACTAAGCGAGATTATCTTTCTTTTTTACCCTTTTTTGATTTTGCCTGTTTCGTACGACAACAGACTACCCCCGTGGGCCAATATTATCACGTGTATACTAGCACTGTTGTGTTGTGACAGCCTTCTAAATATCACTTTGACACACCATCTTAACCTGGTTTTTGTTTTCCTTAAATGATTCATGACATTGCTCCGTTGCTGAAGCTGTGACTCGCGTCTCAGAGCTCCTTTGTAATCGCGGTTATCCGTACTATGGTGCGGCTCCAAAACACATTATGGTCATGTATGAATTTCCATTCCCAATCCCCGTGCTTACATCACAGGTCATCCAATATCTGATTCTGCCCTACATGTCGTGCAAGTGTCATGCTACTTAGTCTGCTTAGTATGGACATACTCGGCTTTGGTTGTTGTTTTAATCATGCCCAGACCTCTCTCTCCTACAAACTCAGTATTCGGTGTCCCTCTCAATCCGTCTTTCCTATTACCACATGATCAGAGTCACTGGCATTTTTCCTGCGTCGTTGTTTCCACATAAGCAGCATCCATCAGAAACGTGTGTACGATTGCTGGGCCTACTTTGTATGCTGGTCGTGGTAACACGTCACTGGCCCCATGGTTTCAAGACCTAGATTGTTACATAATATCGAATGATTTACAACACCCGTGGATTAATTTATTAGCTGACGGAACTCGTTAACTTCGAAGAGTATTAGATTATAGGGTCTTATCTTAGGTGCGTCTTGGTGTCACTGAATGATAACATATACATCTTCCGTTGTGCAGGCGCCTTTATCTATTGCCTTTTAAGAAGCAGGTTACATTCAAGGGTCACCATGACCATTCAATTTGTCTTATGAGCACAAGTCAGCTACTTTTATGGCTTCATTGGCTGACTAAATACAACACTTTCTACAGCTAACCAAAGATTGGGTTGGAGAGGATACATATACAGGGGAAATGACCATATTGTAATAATATAGCGCAAAGACGATGGTTGCAATGCGTAACATGCGTGTGAAATACAGAGGCTCACTGAAGAACACCGGGTCTCCCATAAGGACATTGACGTTCTCTCTTCATCATTCCCGAACTTACCTAATGAGATAAATATGCTCCTCGTAAACCAGTTGTCAATTACTTTATCGAAACTCTTTGGAGTCACTTTATTCCTCCTCCCTGATCGAATTCTTACTTAAAACATGCTCGAAGAATGGGAAATGAGGTTCACTCCACAGAAATATTCTATTCATATCCTGATCATAATTATCCGTAGTATATATTTTTTTCGAATTGGGTTGTTACCTTGTGTGATTTAAGGACAAGCTATTCTAGCTTGCCACTGGTTTGCTGTCCAAGACTCATCCACCACTGCATGTATTAGTCACCGATGAGGTTACTTGTTTTTCTTCTACCTATCATATTTTAGTACTAAATAAGCTTAACTTGTATCTTATATTCTCCCTCAGTTTAATCTCGTTTTTCCTTTCACCATTCTCCTCTCTTTCGAATTTAGAAACAAAGACAGACAAGAACGCGCATTCAAGCAGCTGACTGACATCCGAAAACAGGGACTTAAATTGAGTAAAAAGTTGTTGGAGATCTTGTCAGACAAGGCCACAACTAATGGTGTCAAGACCGCCAGTGGTCATTTTCACACGGAGCTTCGCACGGTACGGTCGATTGCCTCAACTATATGGGCGGCATATAAATCCGACTCATCTGGTGATTGTGAGCGCACACTGAGCAGTTTATCGGCAGCATTTAAACGTTTGGCTGACTTGCTGCTTTCCGGTGAGCAAGCTATCACTGCCTACGAGTTGACAATCAGTGGTCTGGTCCCAGCCCTATTACTCTGCTTGTCAGCCAGCAACGCTGGTCGTTGGGCATGCCCGGTGAGTGATAAACTCTATTTTGTGACTGATATTTTCCATCCTTGCTTCTTTGCATCTCCCTGACATGTGATATATATATATATATATATATATATATATACCCTGTTTGCTAAATTGCATCGTAACACCGAGGCATCTACATACAGATGACACGAGGTGTTTTCTAGAATATATGCATATAACCCGGTGTATCACTATCTCCTAGACTGCAAATGAGTCGTGTTCTTAAAGGTCTTCGTCGAAATATCAGTTTTATCACCGTTAGTTTACAGCTACCGATCAATAGATAGAGATAGAGATCCGTAGCTTGTAACTGATGCTCTGACTTGGTTTAACTAGCGAACTGTTTCATAAGCATACAATAGGGGCAATAGGTTTGCTTCGAATGATCCAAAAACGCGTTTTAGTGAACGAACTTTCTTTGTGGCCTTTGCTGACACCTTAACACAATGTGTGGAACATCATTGATCTTCACGAACAATAATTCCCAGGTCTTTTACTTTTGGACCACGCGATAATGGCTGATTTTCAAGTGCGTATGGAAAGCGATCTCTGTGACGCAAAGATATCATCTTACGTTTCTCAACGTTGAATTCGTTGTCATTTGTGGTAGACACTCCGTAAGCTGCGTTGAGAGTTTCCTGTAGGATGTAAAACGAAGAAACATTACAGTTGAAATGAGCCATTTGAATAAAGTGATGAACAAGTGAGTTGCGTGATTTGTGTTTGGTTAGTGATTGAGGTCAAGTTAGATAACAAAATTTGATATGGAAGTGAACTGGTCCATACATTGGTGGATGTGGTGGAGGGGGGAGGGGAGGTCATGTCACACACTGTGGTAGGGTTTTACAGCGTTTACAGCTGAATGAGTGTACGCAAAATTAATGGCCATTATCAATTCTGCCCACATATGTCTTCTTGTGTTGATGAAATGGATAAAGGGAAAAGGATATTTTACATGATTCCATCACTTTTTACATCACAGGAAGAAGTGTAATTGGATGTTGGTTCGCGGGATCACTTCTGCAGCCACCTTTGTAAGTGGGTGAAACAGTATCCTGTTTTCAAGCGTGAGGAATCACCGTCTTGTCGAATGTGCTTTGGTGTTAATGAGCAATTATTTCAACTACATGGTTTGCCAAGGATATTGTCTTCCGCTGATGATGAATTCTTACTCAACGCCAATAGTTTGGCTTTTAACGCTTCACTCTCGNGGGGGGGGGGGGGTATGAGACACATGGCAGAGGGTATTAAAGCCACAATCCCACTTTGTCACCTTCAGTCAACACTTCCTAGAAGTGAACTTTGAGTAATTCAGCTGCTTCAGATTTAGTAGTGAAAACACGTCTTGCACGCTTTTGTGCGGCATCTCTCTTTTCACTCTTCTGGTGACATTGATATGCTTGTATGAGAGCTTCAGATTGGAAATCTGTTTGTGTGCCAGTGTTTCTTAAACCCTCCGTTTATCATCTCACAAAAATTTGGCTCAAAGGTTTCTCAATATGATGTAAGTGTCGGCAGTTGGAAATCTTTTGATCTCTCACCTGTGACATCTATTTCTTTGTTCGACTAGGGATAGGTGACAATCTTGTGTGATGTACCGGCAAGTTTCGTTTTTGTAGCCACCTTCATGAGCTCTGTTAGAGTGTCAGTAAATATTTTCCAGGACACCAGGGGATCAAACTGTTCTTCCTGATGGTTCATTGCAGTAAGGTTCTACATTGTTCTCTAGTTATTAAAGATGCATGTGTTGTTTTTCAGGTATTCTTCTATATATTTGGACTTGAGAACACTTTTCCCGTCATGGTAATTTCGCTGCAACTGTACAAGTACATACTACACTCAAAGTGATTTTTATAGTCGGAGAAATAATAACTGCGAGACGAAAACAAGTTCGCTAATCCCAACGGACAACATGACACAACGAGAGAGGGTTCAATCATCAAGCCAAAGCTAATGTAACTAACCCTTCACGTTCAGATGTGGATTGGTAAATCCTAGTGAACGGAGGTGTTCAGATAGACAGGACCAATGGAAGTTAAAACAACAGTCAACTCCATGGCAAGTGAAGTGATTGGGTCAACAACTTGTGGGCGTACAGAACGGGATGATGTAATCGGATTAGCAAGGCTTCAATTATTGCCAACAATTTTGCATTGCAATTATGTAACAACGGTTTAAAAGAGGAACCGGGATCAATTATGTGTTTGGTTGTCATGATGTGTTTTGGAATTGATGAACCCGGGTAACCGCCTGATTACTGGGTGTGGGTTGCGTCATCGATTCCACCAACCACTTTGGAATGTGTTCCGTCATCCGCTGTGATAATTGACGGTTGGTTCTGTCTATGTATACGCTACCGCAACTGCGGATGAACCGGTATACAGTGCGTGAGACGGAACTGGATTTCCAACCACTTACACGTTTGTCCAAATCGATTCCGCGAGCACAGGCAATAAGACGAAGTTGGGCAACTGGAAATGTGTAATTCAGAGCTGACTGTAACTTTTGGCACACATCGTTGGGAAGATGATCGCCCTTAAAAGATAGTTTGATGTAAACGGCTTTCTGGGAAACATTTGGAAATGGGTTCCCTTATTGAGGTTGTTTACTATGGATATCAGTGAATCTTCCGGGGTAACCGTTTCGTAGCATCGTTTTCTTTAGGAGTTCTTCTCATATTGTGTCTGGGGAACAAATGTTTCTGGTTCGATGGAACAGTTTTCACGAGTTCACTTTTTTTAGCCGCGGGTGAGGAGCTAGAGAACTGGAGATACTGACCGCTCCATGTTGCTTTTCTGCGGAAAGAATGCTATAATGTGTCATCTAGGCGCCTCGTAATTCTAATATCCAAAAATGGTAAAGAACCGTTGGTTTCTTCCTCGTGGGATCTGGTTAGATGTGGATGAAGAGATATAAATTGCTTTAAGAGGGATTCAAAATGTTCACGCCCCGTAAGACTAAAAATATCGTCCACATTAAGTCTATACAAGGTGGACTGAGAGATATTATTGGCTAGATTTTGTTCATTCATTCCTAAAAATACATCAGCTAGAATCGGGCCTACTGGACTACCCATGGCTAGACCATCAATCTGTTTGTAGGTGGCTCCTTCAAATTCAGAACGAATGTTTTCAGTACATAAAAGTATTAGTTCTCTTAAGTATTCAAGAAGGATGGTAAGGGACTTGAAAACATAATCACATAAATGGTTAACTGTTTAATGGAGGGAAACAGTGGTGAAAAGGGAATCCACTTCTATCAAATACAGCTACTTAAAGATGTCAAATTTTCCGAGCATTTCAAGAGTTTCAAAGGATTTTTAAGAAATGAGGTGTTACGTATGGGATTTACAATTTCTGCCAACCATCAAGCCAGTCTGTGTTATGGCGATTTCTGCACACACAAAATTGGCCTGATAGGATTAGCGGGTTTATGAACTTTAGGCGAGCCTCTCCTGTGTGGTGTTTCAGTCCCCTGCAGTTGCGGTGGCGTATACATAGACAGAACCAACCGTCAATTATCACAGCGGATGACGGAACACATTCCAAAGTGGTTGGTGGAATCGATGACGCAACCCACACCCAGTAATCAGGCGGTTACCCGGGTTCATCAATTCCAAAACACATCATGACAACCAAACACATAATTGATCCCGGTTCCTCTTTTAAACCGTTGTTACATAATTGCAATGCAAAATTGTTGGCAATAATTGAAGCCTTGCTAATCCGATTACATCATCCCGTTCTGTACGCCCACAAGTTGTTGACCCAATCACTTCACTTGCCATGGAGTTGACTGTTGTTTTAACTTCCATTGGTCCTGTCTATCTGAACACCTCCGTTCACTAGGATTCTCAAATTCATTGTGCTTGCTTGTTTTACGTCAGTGATGGAGAAGATTTAACGAAATGTTCACATCGTGCAACATATGTTTTCTTTCGTTCTTGATGCTATGGATAAATGGAGGAGGGGGAGGGGCAGTATTTCGAATTAGATTATATCCGCGAAAATGGTAGTTTCTTTGTCTTACAAGTGAATATGCGATTATTGTTCAAAGCTGGAATATTGAATATGATGAGTACGGCATCTAAGCATTATACATTCCCATAACCATTTTTCATCCTAATCTGAATTTAATAAATCTATCTGCAGGTCACATGCTCAAGCTGCATTATGTTCATCCTTGACGTTCTGGAGATTTCCATTTATTGTAAAGTTACGATTGCAGTCCTTTTTTCTGCAGAAGATTACTTGGCGTATTTTCTTCGCACAGTCGAGGTCCATGAACGATCTGTGATTGACTTATACGCTCCGTTTGGAAACCAGCAGTCTTCAAATTCGTCTTCCCTTTTCGCCGTGGCCACTCAACTGCAGCATAGACAAATCTTTGGGTTGTCTTCTTACCTGCTTTGGCCTGGGCAACTTGGAATTATTCTTCCCACGATCAAACCACGAACCTTTTTCATGTGATAAAGCTCATTGTACCGTGATTCATCTGGCCCGCAGTGTAAACCCCGTCGCTTGTAAAGTGTAATAATATCTTAAGTGATTTCATAAGATCGACAATAGAATCAACCACCATCATCGCGTTCGGGGTTTGGCATCAATTNCAAATGTACTGTTTTTGCACAGCACAGCCTAATTCCTAGGAGCACCACATTATGGAAAACAAATGCAGGCTTTATGTTATTCTCCTTTCTTTCATCCAGGTTTCTTTTATATACATTTTCGATACATCTGATGTTTTAGACTGATGAATAAATAGCAGCGATAGTAATAATAACTTGATAATCAGCCTCGGTAATCAAGTGCTGTTCCTTCACAGTTATGCAATCTCTCCGTGATCATTTTGTCTATCTTTTGCACTACAGCACTGTAATAGTTGTCAGTCTGTACGTCAAATGTTCTGAACGTCGTGGGCACATTAT